TGCACTGGCTCCTTTGATTTTTGGATGAAGATATGGTTTATGGTTGGGCACAAGAAGAAAACATACAGAAATTAGGAGTAGACTGAAAAGAATGCATATTTGAATTAGTTATCAACGCAAGCTTAACATTCCTTAGAGAATGTTCTCATTGCTGAAAACCCCAACCCTTAATTATGAACACTTTATGTTTCTGAATAATTCAGAATGCTTTAAACTGAAGATTCAGTTATAGATTTAGACTCAGGTTTGTATGTTTTTCATATTTCACAATTGACTATGAGTTGTATTTTAAAAAAATATAATAAAAAACGAAGCCTTGTGATTAAGCATAATCCTTTAAAACGGGTTACTTGATTATTATTTTTTTTTTTTAATTTTTCCACAGTTTGGCATCTTTTAAGCTTTCTGTGCATTGACAACTTCTAAACAGAAGTATTCTTTTATGTAAGAATCACTGTTATGAAATTATTCTCTTACAGACATCGTGTTAGTATTGAATAGAAACCTTCTGTGGACAGGGTGCAGCTTGCTTGGTTGTGCTCTGAAACAGCCCTCACAGATTTGTTGATAATTTCCAGTGAGAGCCAAAATGAGAAACAGAAGGACAGAATATGGGCATAGGTGAACAACACTAGAGAACCGTACACTAGAGAAAGAGCATTCAAAGAGCCCAGCAGTTTCATTTAGTTTTGGGGTGATTTGTTTTGCTTTTCCTGATTAATTTGAAGCTTCCATTCTGGTTTCTATTACTGATTCACATCCCAGACAAAAGCCAGAAAAGTCAGTCCTAGTTGATTCCGCTCCTGCCCTCCTTCTACTCTCAAGCTGTTGCTGTTTGGCCTGCTGGTGGCTTAATGTTTTCTCCTGGATGTGAATGAGAAATATCAATTTCTAGAAGAATTTAATCTGCAAGATGCTGAATTTCCTTGTTCTTTCTGTTCATGTTTGTTGTCTGTAACAGGATCCCAAGGTGACCTGTTTTCACTGGATTCCTTCCACTCTCTTCAGAATAGCAAAAAAAAAAAAATAAATAAATAAATAAAAAATTCTGAACTCTTTTTCTTGATGTGTATCTCAAGATTATTTTGAAAGGAAGCCTGTTGCTCTCACAGAGCATTTTACCCAGTTTATAATATTTTCGCTAGAAAGTAGATTCCAAGTTGTTTACACTTGGACATAGAATGGAAGTAGCTAGGAAATGCTTAAAATAATGTGATTTATACAAAAGCTGGTAACTTTCTATGATATAAAGTGATATTGAGTACCTGATCATTTTTAAATATTGCATTTTATTTTCCTATAGCCATGTTTGGTGGATGTTGGAGATATGTGTGGTAATAAAGACAGTGATAAAGATACTCTAAGGCGTGTTTTGGAGAAGACTTGTTGATATGCAGTGCATTTTTTTTTTTTTTAAGAGTTGAGGTAGTGGCCATAATTCAGTTGTGAAATCTTCTATGGCCATTTAAATTTTTGATGATTGAATTTAAAATAATGCTTAGTGCTAATCATAAAGGAAAATGGTAACAAAATAACAGTGTGCCAAAATACAGTATGGTGCATTATTAAATCCTGAAAATGAGATTTTGCTGTAAGTTATCGAGAATGATCAGATGTTTTTATTTACATGTCGTTATTTAGTTCTGGATATCTCTTATTATCACACAGATGTATGTACTTTGATTTAGGTTAATCTTCAGGTTATGTTTGTGTTGCCCTTGTTTTACAGATGTCTGTTGTGATGATTGTAATGTTCCTGGTGGCATGGTCTCCTTATTCCATTGTGTGTTTATGGTCTTCCTTTGGAGATCCGAAGAAAATTTCTCCTGCAATGGCCATCATAGCTCCTTTGTTTGCAAAATCCTCCACATTCTATAATCCCTGCATTTATGTAATTGCAAACAAAAAGTAAGTGTTCTTCGGTACTGTCTACGTAATGATCAACTGTAGATTAGGAGAAACTGAATTGTGAGGAGACTGGGGGGTAAACTGTTCTGGATTTACCAAAGATAACGTTTTTGGCAGCAAAATCTAAACGAAATTGCTTTGATCAACATCAGAATGTGTTAAATTGATACAGATTTTTGAAAGCAAATTAGTGAAGATTGTGTAAGTTCATTTTGAGAAGCCTTTTGTCATTTCTCAGAGGGACTTATTGTGGAATTTGAGTTCATCAGCAGCAGACTAGTTTTGGTGACTGTGGCCAAGATGTCTTACACATCATCTTAGTGAAGTGTAACTTTGGAATTCCTTGCTTGGTTGAGATGTTCCATATTGTGATTGATTAGGAGGGAGTTACACTATCCACTAAAGTAAGTTAGTTAAGCCTATTCTTCTATATTGAGGAAGCATATAAAATGCTCTAGCCAACCCATTGCCTCTGAATGGGAATTGGATTTTGCAAACAGGAATCCTTCCTTGCTTTACTACCAAGCTACAAAGAGGCTGTGATCTCTGTCTGGCTTGTCTGCCCTGATCCTGCTGAGTCTGTGAAAGTCCATCACCTTTTCACCCCGTTCTCCAAACTTTGCTTTTGTCGTAGCTACACATCCAGTCTTCAATTACCAAAAGCTGCTGAGACTCTTGTTATGGGAGAAACACTTGATTGAGTTATTCCAGTACATGGAAATGTAAGAGATTCGGGTCCTTTTGAATTCCAGACATGCAATTTTTTTACTAAGCAACTTTTACTAAAGTTGAAAGCAGTTGTAATACTTAAAAGAGCTTACCCAGTTTGTGTTTGTATGTGGTTCTCCAGCTAGTGATATTTCTGCTTTCACTTTCTTGTCCTTCGCAGGTTTCGGAGAGCAATCTTGGCAATGGTGCGATGTCAGACGAGACAAGAAATAACTATAAACAGTGCCTTGCCCATGAGTGTTTCTCAAAGTGCACTGACGTCCTAGAACTGGTTTACTTTTTCTGCATAGATTTTGTGGAAACAAATTAAATCTGGTTACAGTTAGTTTATTTTTTGTAATAACAATCTGCCTCTTCCAGTCAATTGTTTCCTGTTAATCGCTGAAGTATTTTTTAGGTTAAAGAGAAAAAAAAATAACAAAAACAAGCACTGCAACTTCAGTTTTCAAGAATGAGGCTTATTGGATTGATATTTCTGGCACAAGCAAAAAAGGCCATTGAAGTGTTCCATGTGACTTGTGGGGTTGGACAAGGTGACATCAGGGCAGGAAGAGACTGAAGTAGGAAGTGCTTAGGTTCAGTAACAGATATAGCACCTTTAATTCCTCTTGCAAATGAGTTTCTCTCAATTTCAATTAAAAGTTTCCAGACCTGGATTTTCCCTGTATGTGTGTATTCAATATCATGTGTCTGTACTGACATTTGTTTTGCTTCCATGAATATGGTAAGGTTATCAGAATATCTAGCTAAACCCCATATAGCTTGTTATCAGCTTTTAGGATTTTGAAAGACTTTCATGATATTTCATGTATTTTTGATGTTTTGGCTCACAGAATCAAATCAATCTGTGGGATGGATAGCTTTTGTTTTAGTAGTGGTACATTTCTAGCGCTTGCCCCTGCACAGCAAATTCTGATGGTGGGACAAAATGCTCCCTGAAGGTTGACTCTCAGGTGGCTCATAAAACAGTAAAGATGATTTCTCATTATTTCTAAGTCGATCTCACGGACATCCATTGTGTAATTTTTGAAGAAGAATTTTGACAATGTCAGCAATGGATTTGTGTTGGAGGGGTTGACTGCAGATAGAACTATTGATGGATGGTAGTATACATTCTTGATGATTCTCAGATTTTGAAAATATCTTTTTTTTTTTATTTCCAATCTGAAATCTTAGTGATCCTTCAGACATGTCTCAGCCACTGTGACTTTGTGTAGCTACAGTTACTCTGTTGCTTGGGTTCTTTTTTCTCCTAGGATCTCTAGTGTTGGTCTGACAGAGTACCACTTTAAGTGATGCAGTCATCTGGGAAAGCTAAATGTTAATTTTATTAATTTGTGTGGAACATGTGATGTAATTTTAAGTTCCTCCAGAATTGTGGGAAAGAAACACTTTAGAAAGTATATTTTAAGTCTGACCATGTGAAATTTAATTTAACAGTATTTTGAGTACAATTTGCATCAACAGTTGGTTCATTTCTTCCATTTTCTTTTGATTTTATTGTGCATGCGTTCATCCAAAGCGTGGCTTTGCAGTGTGGAGCTGTTGTTTAAAATTTGTGTGTCATTGGTAAAAACCTGTCTTTACAGGTTTTTTTGAAAGTTCTAGAGTCTATGCTTCTTATTAATTTGTACTTTTCAGTAATAAAGTAAATGCCATACAATGTCTTCTTGCTGTAGTTGCTTTCTTCACGGAATCTTGGAACACTGCATGGACAGTAAATCATACACTGCCCCTCAAAAGAAGCAAATACATGTTTTACTACATACTGACCATACAGTAAGCGCGTATTAAAATAGCCTGGAAGCACGTTGTGTAGAACTTGACACAGTGTGGTGTTGTGACATGATGAAGAATGAGCTGGTTTAACAGATCCCTTTCAGGATACATTTGAAGGTTAAGCAACTCAAGATCTCAGCTAATCTGAGGTAATCTGCTGTTACTAAATGGATGTCTGTGTTCACATTCGTAGCATGCTGCACACGCATGTGTATGAATAAAGTCTTCAGTTTTTTTGGTGTCAGTTGTGCTGGGAGGAAGCCATGCCTCTGCTTTTTTACATATACCTCATAATGAGCGTTTCTGCAGAAGCGCAGGGTTTTTGTCCTTCGCAATGCACTTGTGTTTACCATGGCAGAAGTGATGGCACTGGAACAAGGTATGTGTTTCATTAATTCTTATACTACTTGGTTTAGAGAAAAAAGGAGTGAAGAAACTGGAAATAACATCCTCACATACACTGCAAATTACAGTTTATCATGGTAACTTTGAAATAATGGCATAATTTATGTTAGTATTACATAGCTAGCAGTGTTCCTGAATCACAGCAGATGGTCTTTGTTTTATTTTCATGGCTTTGTGCTTAACAATAGCTACTTTAAATCTTCAGCCTCACTGTAGAAGGCAATTTCTGACCCTTGCTTTTCCTACTACTGTAATGATCTTTCTGTTTCCTCAAACTGTTTATCTACTGTAAAATGATTCTGGTTTAAATAAATACAGTAGTATCTTCTTTCCTGTATTCACAGGGAAATCATACTTTTTGGTAATAAAAATTAGGTTAATTGGATGTTATTGTGTCAATTTTGAGAGATACTGTTTCAGTTACTTGTCACAGCATATCTAGTATAAAATGACAGGAGGAGAAAACAAAACTGAAGAATTTAGAGGAAAAAATGGAGTAAATTAAAGCTAAGTTTCTAAATAGGAGGGGACTCTTTAAACTAATGCATGCGAACTGTATATCCAAAGGGAAGGGAAACTTACTGATTCCTGAGAATGCAGAGGAATCTCATTTCACTGAAATCAATAGGAACAGGAAGTTACATAGAATCTCTACAAGGCAGATTGTTCCTACTTAGACACCAGAAATAGTGGTAGCAATCTTTTCTTTTGAGAAACATGCTGGTGTTTTCAATTTTCAGTCTGTTCTGAGAAGTAAATAAAGATATATAAATGCTTTGAATCTTCGTCATGACAGAAAACTAGAGAGTAGTATTCAATATTCTTCATTATAATAGAATGTCACACAGCTCCCGTTTGAGAACATAAATGTGTGATTCCCTATACAATGACTTTTCCTTTTTGGTTGACTATATAACATTGGATGGAAGGTGGTGCTTGTGCGCTTTGGAATAAAGCAAATCTAAATTTCGCATAGAAATATTGCTATTTATATTCACTTTTTCTTTAGAGAATTCACATTCTTTTTAAATTCTGTTATTTATTTTTTTTATTCTGACGTTAATTTTGTAGAAGTTAATGGCACTTAAATCTGAAAAACAACTTTCTGATAAAGAAATGCAGATCTCTCTCTTTCTTTTTGGTGCTAGGTCTGTGCTCTGTAATGATCCCGACATGTTTGAGATCCCTGTTAACGTTCCTGTGGATACCGTGAAACTTCGTATAGAAAAAACTGTCATACGAAGGATTCCCACTGAAGCCTTTTACTATCTAGTAGACCTCAGATACCTGTGGGTAACTTACAACTGTGTAGCCAATATTGATATCAGCAGCTTCTACAACCTGAAACAACTGCATGAGCTCCGGCTGGATGGTAATCTGATTTCGACTTTCCCTTGGGAGTCTCTGACAGAGATGCCCAACTTGAGGACTCTCGATTTGCATAACAATAAGATGACCAGCATTCCAGCCGAGGCTGGCAGGTACTTGAGGAACCTCACCTACCTGGACATCTCCAGCAATAAGCTCACCACCTTGCCCTCCGACCTGATGGACATTTGGCCACCCTTCTCAGAAGTTGTCCCTCCCAGGAGCACAGACATTCTGGCGACTCAGAGAGTCATTTTGGGTATGTTAATGTTCTATCATACCTTGTTAAAATGTGTCTATATGGTCAGTTGGAAGTCAGAGCAGGGTGAGATGGGCCTTGGGTTCAGGAGGGTGCTAGTACAAGCCATTCTTCTGGCTTGCTCTGCAATCTATCTGTCATCTATCTGTCCATCTATTTTCTGCTGTTGATAGAAAAATATATAGGAAAGATAGTGACCTTCATGTATACAGTTATCTCAGCGTTATAAAAGTGTGTGAAATGTACTGGATTCCTGTTTCCTAATGAAATATTCAATATCCAGATAAATAAATGCAGGACTTCCAAAAACTGTGCTGCTGAGGACACTTCTGTTGTCACTGAATGTGGCTGCAAACACAAGTGTGTCCACTTGCAGCTGTTTTTAGCAGTGACTCACAAACCAGATGAGGAGTTAGAGTAGATGCTTTATAAAAAAGCCAGTTCTGAAATACAGTATCCTCCCCATGACTCATGTTGACCTTGCATTGTTCTAATGCTGACATTTCTGCCAATTCACATTGTGAATACAAGAGGAAGAATAAGGATCTCTGATACACACAGTGTCGCAGTGCTTTTTATAGTATTTAAAGTGAGCATTTAAGAATAGCTTGGCTGGACTCTCATTGTTCATAGTTTTATTCTCTCCAATTTCTTTTAGGTCATGATGTTAGTTCTTTTTGTGATCTTGTGCTCTATCAAGTTTTTGTTCACTTTGTAGCCTTGCAGGTAACCATTTACCATTTGCAGTTTCAGAGTACACTTGGATCAAGACAGCTTTCTTGTCTGTCATTGTATATGTGCATGTTCTGTAACACAGTAACACAGTGCAGCAGTGGAAGGGAGGAAAACTAGCACCAGACAAATAGCTGGCTTCCTGTAATCTAGCTGCAGGGGTGGCTTGGTATCCACTGGTAAAGATCCTCCATGCACTGTGCTGCCCAGTAATTCCATCTTCTTGATCTAAAGCCATTACTAAGCATTCGTTTGTTCAGCTGCTTTCTTTTATGACAAAAAGCTTGATCTGAAGTTCTCATTCAGATGAGATTGTAAATAACTTCATAGATGAAAGTGGGCTGAGTGATTACATGCATGGTAACTGTAAGTTTGCAGCTTTAAAAGGATGTTGGTTAATTTGGGATCTAAACAAACAAACAAACAAAAACCCACAAAAAAAAACCTGTAAAATTAAGTCAGCTCACTACCCCATACTGAAGGCAATAACACGGGAGCTGGCTGGGCTAGGTCTAATCCTCCTTATGATGTCCTCATGTGGGAATCCCTGAGATTATTCAGTTGCCTTTGCTTACATAGCCCTCATTACTACAACTTAATAAATAATAATTACGAAACAAATCCATGCGCTTTCCTCCCCTTTCTCCCTTTCCCGTCAGCTGCATTGGTACATACTCTTTGCCTGCCCCCTTCAGTCCTGGTAAACTCTCTGAGACCAACAGTGACTTTTCTAGCAATATAGGATGTGACCTTTGGATTACGTTCATTATTGTTTATGAACTACAAGTGGGCACAGATCTGCAGAGAGGGATGTGCACTGGGTACAGAGCCTTACTTCTCCTTTTTTAACATTACGCTCTGAGGGAGGCTCTGTGCTGTCACTGTAGATTTCAATGGGAGAACGTAAATCTGCGGGTAGTGCTGAACAAAGTTACCTTAGGTAAGCTGTGGGTAATGTACTGAATTTTCATTTGTTGACAGCATAACCTTCTTATGACTGTTCCATTGCATGCAAACAATGCTTGCTGTATAGGAAACTCTATAGTGAATCAGAAAATGCTCTTTTTCTTTGGGGATTAGAAATTGGGGTGCTTTTTGTGCAACGAAACATTTTCACAAGCTTTGTTTCCACTTAGCGGTGGCTTTATTATCTGCATTACTGCAGCTTGGAAAGTCACAGGCCACTCATAATCATTGCCAGAGGCTCATTCTTTGGTCACTGGACTGTTGTGAAAGTTTTTAGGAATGAATGGTTAAAAGAAACAAGAAAGGTGCCCTAGGAGTTGAGGTGCCTCCATATTGCTCCAGCAGCAGGAGATGCTGGCTCAGAACAACAGGAGTATGGTGTGCTCTGTGACATTATTTCTCTGACACCCCTTGTGTTGGAGCCTAAGGGAGGAGAATCATATCCCATTGATGCCCTTCCTCTTCTCTGAGGTGGAGATAAGGATCATAGAAGTAAGTGACCAGGAAGGATTTCAGAAAGGCCTCTAGCCTGTTGCAATGCAGATCTAGATGAACTGAACCCTGCCTACCCTTTGGCAAAGAGGTGGACTGCTCCAGATCCCTGGCAACTTCTTTCAGTGCTTATCTTTCAATACAATGAGAAAGTTTCTCTTAATACTTAACCTCAATCTCCCTTACTGCAAACTAAGCTCATTAAGCTGATTAAGTATTGTCCTACATGAGATGAACATGCAGAAAAACTAATTGCCTTCTCTTACAATAACCTTTCATACATTTTCCTTCCCTGATGGCCTTTTGCTTTCTTAGCTGGTTGCACTATTTCTTTCAGTTGTTTCCTATAGACTATGATTTTTTTCGTTTCCTACCATATTTACTAGTTCTCTCTGGCCACTTTTTTATGTGGGGGTGGGATGGGGAGAAGAGTGGAAGGGATCGAGAGGGCAAGTAGGGAAGGAAAGAGTTTCTCCTTAAATGTGATGCCTGTGGTTACACACAGTACTCATTCTGATGCTCAAGAGTGGTGCTCTGCAGGAGCATTCAGTCTGGCCCATGTACCTACATGGAATGGGTACTGCAGCCAGAGCACTGCTAGAAGCTGGAAACTTAAGCAAATAAAAGCTGTTTTTGTCTAGTCAGGAAAATAGCAGGCAGATTCTACTTAGTGTAAGTACTTATGGCTTGAACTCGCTCATCTCCTACTTCTGGCGAAATGAGATTGTCACTTGTATTTAATTAACAATATCAACACCAGCAAAGCCCTGAATTCATTTGTGCAAATGTAACACCAGGAGGCAATTTTTTCTGGAATGTCTTGACTGAACATCAAGAGAGTTGCATGTAAGAGAAAGTTCAGGTTCCCTATGTTCATTTTGAGGCCTCTTGGAGAAGCTAAAATGACTGGCAGATTAGTGTATCTCCTTATGCCAATTCATAATTTCTGTCCTGCAGGGTGGTTTCATTGCTCCCCACTGTGTGATGTTCCTCAATATGCACACTATGATACGTGAAGAGGGATCAATTCCTGGCCCTGTGGCTGAGTGGTTCTCTCTGTCTCACAGTACAAAGCCAGCTTTTTTTATTTATTTATTTATTTTTTTTTTTTTAAACCTGATTGACTGCTCAAGTTTTGTAGGACTTGACTATTGGTTTTCTGCAGCTCTGATGGGATGTTCCAGTGTCTCTGAAATGTGAGTGAGTGGGTGGGGATGTCTTTTTCTCAGTTCAATTTGAATGAATTAAAGAGAGAATGGAACCATTGTGCCTTCATACTATGAAACAGTATGCATGTTAGATGCCTGATGGGCTGGCAGGTACTGCAGGATGATTTTGAAGGTGTAAAGCCTACTGCATGTATGCTAGGAGAATGAATAGGACAGAGGAAACCAACCTTGATGCAATCTCATCCAAACTCCCAGCAGGAAAAGGTCCCTAGAGGGTGCACAGCCCCTGCCTTTGTCTTGGAGAGCATACTTTGGAACAAAGCTGTGGAATGAGCTGACAATTAAGCAGTGGAAATAATAAAGGAACGATAGCTGGCCCTATCTTGGTTAGCATGGAACTTTAACCTAATACTTTGATCCAAATCACAGCTAAGTTTCAGCATTGGCTGCTGTACAGAGATTGATATTTCTGGCGTGAATGATGGTAGCAGCATTTTCCATATGGAAAATTAAATCTAGCGAGTCACTGAGAGGAACAGAGGAGTCCAGGATTTGACAGAGTGGCAGTAAACTGAAATCTTTCTCTGCCGCTTGTAGTGATGCCAAAAATTTGAAACTCAGCAGGTCCATTGGGTTCCCAGTGGTTGTGCTGGGCTATGAGGTAAATGATGCTCTTCCTGAAACTGCATACTAACTGTTAGTGTGTAGGAAGCACTGGGACACAGTGAGGGAAGTAGGATTTACTGTTTAGATCCATGGGTCAAAATTTTGTAGCTTCAGTCAAAAGAGAGTATTTGAGCAGGTTGGTTGTTTTGATGAATGTTTCCATCAACCCCAAACTTGAATATTTCATGTACTATCATTTTGCAGCAAGTGGAAGTTCTGGTCTAAGACCAGCTACTGATTTACAAAGGAAACTTTACTCATAACTATTTCAAATGCTGAAAGTTGACATGGTGTAGGAAAATCTTGTTTAATGAGAAGACTGCAAAAATATGCATGCATGTATGCACATATGCATATCCATTATACATACGAACACATGTATAAGTGTGTGAAAGTAAACTTCAAATATGCTAAATCTAGAATAAAGGAACTTTTTTTTTATAGAGTAGTTTGTAATCCTTATTTAATTTTAACATACATTGCACTGGTATATTGCAACGCAAAAATATTTATCAATGTTGTCTTTGCTTTGGTTGATATTTCTCAAGTCAATAAGCTGCTTTAATATTTCTTCAAAAGAGGCTGATTTATAAACTTCTAGTTTCTTCAGTTTGTACCTTTTAAAAAAAAAATCTTTATTCTTTCACGTGTTCTTTTTCACTTCTATCACCTTGTAAACAAAAGTTGTTAAACTTCAGAAGTTTATTTCCATTTCTGTTCTCTTCAGTAGTTAACTGAAGTGTAATCAAATTCAGTGTGTTATCCTTGTGTTTAAGCGCTTTCATCTTTCTATTTTGGGATTTTATATGACTTGATAACTTACAATGGCTCTGCAAGTTTATCGCAAATAAAGTGCATACTGCCTGGTATTGGCAAGACGCAAATAAATAGAAGGGATGAGCCACAGAAGTAAGGGAGTGACTCCTATAGCTGTAGGTATTATCTATATATACGTCATGCTTCTTCAGCCAGTTCCTCTGTACACTGTGACAGATGGGGAAGATAAGGTGATGAACTGAAATAGCTCCACTGCACTGAAATACAGACGTAAGGAGTTCTCTGGGACTGCAGCTTTCTTCATCCATTGAAATCAGGCCTTCACAAAAATCTGAGATGAGACTGAACAACCACCCAATCTAATGGCTTTTTTTCACCATTCCTTCTATTTTGCCTGTTTCATTTAGTCTGTTTAGGTTGTAACATCTTTAGTCCTCCTCTTCGACACTGGGAGAATGTGAAAGCCATGTATTCATATATTGGAAAGACCTTTTGCAGTACTGTTAGAAACAATAATAAACTCATCCTTTCCTGCACTGAAGCTTGCAGGAAACAGAAGGTAGCATAAGATACATGTTTAGTATCATTTTGCATGGAGACTGTGCTGGAGAGTTCACATGCATTTCAATTATTTGGTACAGAGGGACTGTTGGTGGAAGGCTTGTTTCCAGTGGGGCCTTTTTCCCTTCTCATATCTTAGGGGGAATTTCATTTTCAAATACTCTTACAGTCTTTTCTGCTTGAGATGGTAGGGAAAATTGAGAGGAAAATGAGGAAAAAAGACACAGGAATGTATTCCTAACTACAAACTAAAGTTGCCTAAATTAAAAGGTAAGTACAAGTAGGTAGGTGCACATTCTTAATTGGGCAGAGCTTGTATAAGGAAACAATTGATATGCTTAGACATATGGCAAACAATCCAATCATATCTCTTTTGCTTGTAAATGCATATTTGAGTTTCAATGAAAATTAGTTTTACATTTTGGAGATTCTTTTTTTCTTAAAGCGGAGCTGTTGCTCGTAGGATTTCTTTGATTTCTCCATTCCTGAGGGCAGTAGTTGGTGAATAGATACAAAATCTCTCCTGTCTGAAAGGGGTGAAATTGGATTGTGATGTCAAAGTCAGGGAATCTCTTCAGGTCAAGTCTTGTTTTAAAAACGGGGATTAATCAGGATTTATCGTCATTTTAGCCAATCACTGCTATGGTGCTTAAAATAACCTGATCTTGGTCAGGTGATGAAATGAATTAGTAGCTAATTATTCATATACTCTTTCATGAGAAGGTTTCTTCCAAAATGCAAGCCAGTTTTTTTTTCTATTTGCTGGTGTAATAATCCCTAAAAACGCACCCTGAGAAATACTGGCAGGTGTTTCATTTTTTCTTTTAATTGTGAATCAGTTGACATGACTTGTCTGTCGTGCTAGTCAGTAAATTCAGTAGTGAGCAACTCTTGCATACCATCCTTCATTTCAGTCTGTGAGCTCTGTTTATTGCTAGAGCTAGAAGAAAATGGAAAAATTATGCCCAAAAGTACAAATCAAGGGATAAAATATTTAAGCCCACGGGTGATGCACTGTGCATTTTTTTTACCTACTACTTCTCCCCTCCCTCCCCCGCCCCCCGTCATGTTCTCTGCAAGCACAGAACAAGAGTCTGGGAAGATTAAACTGTATGAGCCCAAAGAAGTACTAAAAGCAGAGGAAGATGACAGGGTGTGATAACACTGAGAAGCTCTCTCCAGAAGGCACAGACAGGTGAAAATGTGTCATCAATCTTAAGATATCTTTTCAAAGCATTTTTTTTTTTTCCTAGATAAATAGCAAAGTTAAGCAAAGGTAACACCAATTACTGTGCTCCAGCAAATTTATGTGAAGAAAAGACTTAATAAGTATTTTTAGTCTTTTTACCTCTGTAAAAAAAAAAAAAAAAAAAAAAAAAAAAAAAAAAAAAAAAATCCCTCCCTGTCAGCTAACAGAGGAGAACGATAGAAGTATATTAACTCAGAATAGGCCCATGGTTCTTCTTGATTGTACTTGATGGTAGTCGTATGTCATATTTAAATCACAGCATTTGAATATTACCTGACAACACTTTTTTTTTCCCTACTCTTTCTTCAGGTTTGCAGGACAACCCATGGTTTTGTGATTGTCGCATTTCAAAGTTAATTGAATTTTCCAAAATTGTGGACAACTCAATTGTACTTCTTGACCCACTGGTTACATGTAGTGGACCGGAGAGCTTGGCAGGGATCTTGTTCCAGAGAGCTGAGTTAGAGCAGTGTCTTAAGCCATCTGTGATGACATCAGCAACCAAAATCACCTCCCCGCTGGGAAGCAATGTGCTACTACGCTGCGATGCAACTGGATACCCAACCCCACAGCTTACCTGGACTAGGTCAGACAATATTCCAGTGAACTATACAGGTATAATAGCTCTTTTATAGAAACAGCTCCTTTATAGGATATGAGAGAGCCTGAAATTAGTGGGTTTCCTGTGTGATGAGATTTTCTTAATAGTAACAGTGGACTAGGTATTGCACCATTCTAGCAGTTGCATCCATGGAACAGCTGTTAGGAAATTCTTTTTCCAGGTCCAACAGGTTGTTCTGATTCTGTTTGTGGTCTGTAATAAGAACTCTGTGCGTGTGTGTGTATGAAAATGGACGAAGGAGGGAAGGATGAAGGAACAACAGAAGTTAGAATAGTTGGGTAATAATTTAGAAGCTGAGAAGCAGAATGGAGAATTTGTTACTGAAATCTCCTTTTGCATTTGAAATCTTTTTTGAAAGCTAGTGAGGCTATAACTGAGCAACTTAAAATAGCACTGTAAATGTGGGATTTTCCAAAAAACATGTTTTCTTATTTGCAAATGTTTACTGCTTATTTGCAGTGCCCACCTTGAGTACTAAAGAGACTGTGATTATCTAATATCATTCTTGCTGTAATATGCTACAGTATATCTTTATGCAGTAATATCCAAAAAAAAGTTCATTGTTAATGGCAAGTAGCTAGCAGTTAACTTTTAGTTCTGAAGTGAATAATAGTCCTACATATTGGAATATCTTACGACAAAGGTAACTTCTGACTTTTTTTTTTAAATGGCTGTTGTTTTCAGTGTCTCTTGAAGTCAGGGAGACTTACACTTTGTAGTTGTTTGGCTTTAAGATGTTTTGATTTCTCTTGTTCTTGTTTTACTTAATAAAACTAAAAAAAAAAATCTTGTAATTCCTTCTGAAATTCCATTTTGACCCAGGCTGAGCACTTTTCTGCCAGACGTTCCATAGTTAGCATGTATGTGTAGTTTTTTCATTTTTAATACATATGCTTCATTCTGATAGAAATAATTTCAGAGAAAAGAAAAGGTAATCCAATGATTGCTTTCTCTTTAGCTTCTCTTTATAATATTTTATTCTTTATGTTCTCTTGTAGTAATTCAAGAAACACCTGGAGAAGGTGTCCGATGGTCCATATTAAGCTTGACAGGGATTTCATACAAGGATGCAGGGGAATACAGATGTAAAGCAAAGAATTTAGCAGGAATGTCAGAAGCTGCTGTTACTGTCACAGTGGTTGGTGTTGTTACTACAACCGTGTTGCCACAGAAGTATGGAAGGAAGCAGGAGGCTGAGAGGCAGAATACCACGCTGGAGGAATCCAAGAAGGAACCTGAGAGAACAACCACACCTCTTCTGACCACATCAACAACCACAACAGCACAGGTTACCACTGAGAGAACAACAAACGCCAGGGTTACTGACAAGAAGCAATCCAGGTCCATGAATGATGGAAAGAAAAGTTCAAAGACAGTGACAAATGGAAGCAAAAAGCAGACTGGGGACATGAGGAAGAAAGGTGAGGAGGCAAAGCAGACTGAGGAGGCAAGCAAGAAAGGTGTGGAGACTTCACTTACGGCAGCGGCTACAGCTGAGCAAAATATTACTGTGATGGACCTAAGGGTGATCACTGAAACAGATGAAAGAGTGACCTTGACTTGGAAAACTGTCAATGCCTCAAGCAACACTGCAGTGACCGTGTTATATTCAAAGTACGGAGATGAAGAGATGTTGCCTCTGAGCACGGATTCTAGCAAAAACAAAGTCACAATTGATGGTTTGCAACGTAGCACTCAGTATATGGCATGCGTTTCACCCAAAGGAGTGCCACCTACAAAAGAGCAGTGCATTATTTTCACTACTGACATGTTAAATGATGAAAGCAGCTCTCAGTTTTCTATTCTGATAATGGGCAGCAGTGCAGCATGTGTAGTTGTTTTACCTTTGATAATTTTCTTACTCTACAAAGTTTTAAAACTGCATATGAAACCCAAAGCTCCTAAGGAAGCTGACCTTGCAAAAGAGACTTACGTGAAATTTGAAACACTCTCTCTCAAGCCTCGAGCAGCGAATGCAGGAGGAGAACTCTGGGCAAGAAGATACACAGACGAGTCAGAGAGACTTCTCCTTTGTTCTAGGTCAAGTATGGATTCTCAAATGACCTTCAAAAGTGAAGGCTCTAGGTCTGAGTATCTCTGTTGAGCATGGGTGAGGATGGAGGTGATGGAATACACAATGGATAAAATTATCCAAAGTGATGATACTGCATGGGGAAGCAAGTTGGTGTCAGGTGGTGGTCAGAATATATCATCTGATGTCATGGATCCTACCAGATGGGTAGAGTGGTGGATGAGGGAACTGAAGATTATTTTTTTTTTTGGTACACTTGTGACTTTGAATATGAAAGAATGGCATTCTTTGAAAGATAAATATAGCATAAAACAGTTACTTGCTTAAAGTTCTTCTATTTCTGCTTTAATTAAAACATCATTGTTTTCTCTCATTTAACTGTATGATGTGCTCACTATGTGAATTGAACATTATCACAACTTCCATTAAAAATATTATGTATTTAAAGATGAAAGAAAAAAAGCTTAAATCACTTTTATTGAAGTTGAAGCTTTGAAAATGTCATACATCTCTGTTTGTAAAGTTTGTAGAACTGGAGGCAATTCTAAGTAGCCACAATTTATGAATTCTTGAGAGCTACAGTATACATCATATTGTCATTTTGGAGATGTTATGGTGAAGGAGCTTCTTTAGTGTCCTGAAACTTGGGTAAGATGTCATTATGAGTAACTCCGAGTGATACCGTATATTGATACTGAAAATTTACAGCAAATTATCTTATTACAGAATCCCAGCCTTAGAATTTACTTGCATTCATTTGGCTATATACCTCAATTTCAGAAATCTCTGTAGAGAGAATTTTGTGGCATTTTGTAATACAAAACACAATGTCACATAGCAGTGTATTACATAGATATTACACAGTATTATATAGTACACTGGAGTGCTATAGTATACTTTGAGATACAATAGGAGGAGGTCTTGTCCTCAGGCCACATTGGATGCCTAATGAAGTCTAATGAGCATAATCAAAGCTAATTGTGAGTATGCTTCCCATTCTTTACAAAATCCAGCGTTAGTAATAACAATGAATGTAGAATTACTTCTTAAATAATAATGAACTGTCTGTTCTGAAGCTGTTTTTTCAATACTTGAAATAAATAACAGAACTGCATTGTTTAAGGTTCAGGTATTATGGTTAGAATAACGTGTGAATTAGGAATCACATTTTTTCCTAAAAATGGAAACTGTACTGTTTTCTTGGACCTTTTTATACCTGGAAGAGCTGTTTACTTTGCTTGGAAACTGGGAATCTTCTTTTTCCAAAGCAAGAAACATTGCCTAGAAGCTACAAACCAAAGGTTACTTAATTAAATTCAAAACAGTGGCTTCTCTTAGTGTCATTAGTGTAGCATTAAATTTTACCCACTGGAATGTTGGAGAGCTTGCCTTGTTCAATGCACAGGCTAATGAGGATAACTATTTGTCATAAAAGCAACATAAATAAGATCATGGCAGAAAATAAACACGCTCAAAAATTTCCATTGCATCTACATGTCAGGGTTCCATAGTCAGGGATAACAGGACCCTTGTCTGAAACTAAAGGAGCTATGCTAAGGAAGCAAGTGAGATATTCAGAAGTGCAAAATTACTTTACTTGCATGTGCTTTTAGAATTGACCTTGTTGTTTCTTCTGTTACTAGTGTGTGTGGTTAAAAAGTGTTCTGTCTTCTTCCATGGATAATTTTGATTTCAACAAAAATATTTTTAGTTTACTTAGTGGAAGATTTTGACTTTGGAATTGTGTTTTTTATTTGACATTTTTTAAGGGAAGTAGTTTATTGTGTCAAAAACATAATTTGACTGAAAACATATTTGAGATAAAATTTAATGAGATCTGATGTGTTAACTTGAAGTGTTACGTTATTTGCCTTCTATTCTTCACATAGATAGTAGAGCCAGCCGCTGTCACGGAAGGTTTTCCCAATTAAAAACACTGTTTTTTCATTAATAAGAGTAATTATTTTAACCTTTATTTTAATTCTTGGAGAATATTTGATTTTAGGTTTCAAAGCTCTGTGAGAAACTTGAATCTAATTCTAGGGTGATTTTTAGATACTGTGTCAATATACCAGATTGTGGTAGTGTAATGCTCATTTGAGAGAGCTCATTTGCAAATGTGAAACCTGTTGGTTTGACTAATCTTTGAGGAATTAATATGTTTTATAGTTAGGAATGAGGTCCATGAGGGCTATCAGTATGTTGAAGATGAAGTGTACTGGAAAGGGCATGGAAAACACCACACGTTATTTTTTTCCACATTTCCTGAAACAATGGACCAAAACGTGTATCTATACCTCATGTCAAAATTTCTGATGGAGAATTTAGATAGGAATTGAGCGCACAATAAAGATGTGCACACTGCATCACCCAGAATTGGTGTAACTGAAGAGCTGAAGAAGTACTTCTTGGAACAGATGAATGTTTTTATATTGTAAAGTCTTAAGATTCATAGTAGAATCATTATAAGATAGATTTTTGAGATTTTGTTTGTATTTGTCTAGTGTCTTTTGAAACGCAATGCTGAGTGAATCATCATGATGAACAGTGAATGACTGCAACCTTTGGTTGGCCAGAAGGAGTCTTTGGAGAAGATTTGAGCAAAGTTTACGTGTGGCCTTTCATATGTTTTTGCACTTTGTTGACTCAATTTAACCCCATGTTTCACCAGAAAGGTTAGAAACCTTTTTATATGTTACCTGCAATGAAATAATTGAACTGCATTCCAAGTAGATCCAATTTTTACTTGAAAATTAAAAGAGTCTTAGCACTCATTACAGTTAAACACAATCCTATCTTCAATGTGCACTTACTAAGCCAAACTTTAGAGTCATATTTCAGTCCTTGCTGTTACCCACGCTAGATTTTATATTCTTTGCACTACTGATAGAAGTCTCATATTTGTCCCAGGTGGGGGATTAGGAAAGAAAACTCTTTCACATGTACTTTGAAAATGTCTATAATAGCAGAACCCTATATACTTGGGCTTAGTTGATAGACTAAGGAAAGGATTTTTTAAACTCATTACTTTTTCTCTTTATTCTTAAAGAAGTAATTACAGTAATAATTGTTTTGATGTGAAAATAAAACACTGTTTTTATATGTGACCATGTACTTGCCTGACCCTTCCTTCTTCAATTATAGCTTTGGACTGTATGTGATGAGTGTAACTGTGAGAATAAGAGGCAATCTGAGAAGAAATGAGAGAAAATACAAAAGAAGGCTGAGAACTTGGAGGGACAATATTCTCAAGAATGATTGGACTAAGTGTTGCAAAGTCATTTGTTTGCAGTTCTTATGCACACAGCAAGGATACTCAGGGGTATCTGCAGACAGGCAGTCATCAATGGATGATGAAGATTCTGCCTGCACAGTACAAGGAGAGCTCTCTACGTACATCTGACAAACTGGGGACAGCTATAAAATAGAAGTATGGAACAGTAAGGGCAGTAGGGGAATTTAAAAACGTGCTTGAAACTGAAATTAAAGTCCACTTGGGTACATCAGAAGCAGAAGAAACATCCAAAGGAATAATTACTGGTAGAGTCAGTGCAGCTGTTACGTAAACTAAATGGCTTGCCTATTCAGTAAACAGAATAAGTGCTTTGTTGGTATATTTTTAGACTTTCTATTCACTTAGACATATAGTTGTATGAGTCCTTTAGAAGCCTCAAACAGTTGTTTCTCTAATCCTTCGAAGAGTAAATTCCTAAATAGTTCTCAAAACCATGTTACTGCTTAACTCTCTAGCATTTATTCTCCCAGATTAATGTTGTTTAATAAATAGGAACAAAATAACATGAATAGTCTGCTTTGTAAAATTTTCCAGTCTCTAAAACAACTGTACTTTTGTTGAAGAAAAGTGATATTAAGTCCAATACTTGTAAGTACATTTTTTTTTCTGTGAGAATCTGATTTAATTAATGGTGCTGAAGTCTAAAGCCTTAAGCTGATCAGATCGGATTCTGAGTCATATGTCCTGAGTTTTATGCTGCTAAGATTTGGCCAAACATTAGAACCTCCAGAAATAACCTTTACCACCTATATTTTGCTTCATAGCCTAGTCGCCCGTGTTTAAATTACTAGGGGAAAAAGAGGGCAGGTAAACAGCCAGCTATGGGATATGGAAAATTACATTCATTAAATTTGTTAAATTTAAATTTTATCCTGCTTTTTTGACAGAACGTTTTTCTATGTTAGACTAATCCCACAGCATGCAGTTAGCTTCAAATTACATGTGAATGACATTATCTGCGGGTGTTTTCATGGAGCAAACTCTTAAGTCTTGGGAGACCTCTTTTAGTTTCTCAGTGATTACTTTAAAAATAAAAATTACTTTTCCACTCCTTGTCCTTTAGTGCAAATGTGATATGGTGACATGGTTTCCTTACTTCTGAAGCAGGAGAGTGAAATCAAAAACTTTAATGCCTCTGCCTGTTCTGGAACTCAAACTTATAGATAAGGATCATCTTCACCTTGCAGTTGCAGTGTTTGCTGCCACATTTGCATTACACCAATGTACACAAAGCACTCAGTTCCTAGAGCTCTCTTCCAATCAGTCTGTTTTCATCCTAAAATTTGAGCATCATTTATTTTAGTAGATTGTCTCTAATATTTCTCTACATTAGAAAGGAATCTTCCTAGAGAGATACAGGCTCATTTCTGTGACAAAAAAAAATGTTGTTATTTTGCTTGACCATTCTTTATTCTTTGATAGAGGAGCAGACATTCCCTTTGGATATGGTAATCAGCAGCAGAAACAATGTAAGCCAACGTTTTTCACAAGCCAGACAAATAACGTTCATTGTTCTGTCAGGCACAATGATTGAATAGACATCGTCAAACATTCATACATGGAGTATTTCTTTGTGACAGGAGAATTCATGAGGCAAGGTTTGGAGAGAGAACTAATGCAGTTCCTTGTTTATTGATAAAGAAAAGTGACATTTTCTTGAGTTTTCAGTGATGATTTAGCTAGCTCTACAGATTGTCTGAAATATTTCACATTCAGGCAGAAGTTCAGCTTGTCACAAGTTGATTAAATTTTTCAGTTTTGTATTACTGAAAATTTG